TCTGAGCAATGTGAGGGCAAAGACCTCTTTTAGACGTTTGAATCCCCAGTGTCTGCCGCAGAGCTGAGCTAATAATGCATGTTCAGTGTGTGTTTAATGGGCAGAATGGAAGAAGACAAAGTTTGCCTCTGGAGAGTACTAGCCTTTCGGGGAGCCTTGGGGCCAGAAGTGAAATTCAGTCTCTAGGAAGAGATGCTCAGCTTCTTTTTGTGGGTTTTTTTTTTTTTTTCTTCTTCAACTTTTTGATTTGCAAATAAAACAACTGAATAGCAGAGAAAGAAAATGATGTTCTAGCGACCCTGTCGCTAGAGTGGCAGAGCTAGCCTGGAACCAGGGTGTTTCCAGTGTACCTGTGGCCTCTTCCGCCCAAAGGAGAGGCAGAAACCACAGAGAGCTGGTTCTAGGTGTTTCAGGGGAAGTGGAAGGGCAGGGTACTTGCTCAGATCCTTAAACTATAACACGTTGCTATGAGGCAGAGAACTCCCCAGCAGGGCCAGTATTGAACTTTCTGGGAAAGTGAGTGAACTGTGCTCTGAACCACGGCACCTGAAGAGGTATTGGTACCATGCCAACGTGGATGGGCCAGGCCTGCAGGAGACAAGGATAAAATGACTTGGGAGAGTCCAGCCCTTGCTTCTCCCATTGCTGATGATCCCACTGATCAAGGATGCTGTCCCCAGGAAGGGGCATGGCAGTAAACAGGGCCCAACTGAAGGCTGTTCTGATGTCAGAGGTCAAGTCAGGTGCATAAGTTCAGGTCCTCAGAGCAGCAGATGCCAAGATGGGACTAGATGGGCATGATAATTACTGGGGATAACACTTGTGGAGAATAAGGGAAGTGAAGAAAGGAGGGGGAGACTTTAGACTGTGATGCAGGCCTGACACCTGTGAAGGAGAAGGGAAAGGAAAGAAAATTACCAAAAAGGAAAGAAAAAAACCAAAATGGTGGCATAAGGTATATACCTGTATGTGCTGCCTCTCACAACCACACCAAAACTACAATAAAAGACAAAACTACAGGAAAGCTAGCTGAGCAGAGATTCTACACCTAGAAGGAAAGAAAAAGCGCATTGAGACTGTGTGGGATGTGCAGAGCCCCAGAAAAGCAGAGGTATGGAGGCATGTGCAGAGAGGGCTGGCAACTGAGGACACAGCTGTCTTTTTCAAGGGGGAGGGAGACACAGCTCCCAACTGCTCTGAACTCCAGTTTCCGCCGAGACTCTGGGGACCCAGACTTCTACAGGGAGAAACTGGACTGTCTGGCATCAGGTCAGAAAGTGAGGGTGGCTTTCTCGCAGAGGTGTGCACAGGAATCATTGTTTACTGCGCTGGTGTGCAAGATTGGGGGCATGGAAATGCAGAGATGCAGAGAAGGCTGACTGGCAGCCATCGCTTGTTGCCACACACTAGTGATTCTTTGAGACCCCACCCTGCCAAATTTACTAACCCACCAGAGCTGTGTGCAGTGGCTTTTGCCTATGAATGGCCTTCCCTTTCGCAGCTTTACCTAACAAATTTACATCTGGGTCAGACAGCTCCAAAACTTCCAAACCCCAAACAAAGAGGAGAAATTTGCAAATCTCTCTGTAGTTCCTGCTGGGTGGCCTTAGATGGTAACTGACTTGTCCCTCCTTGAAGATCCAGGAGCCAGTGTACCTAGTGCTCAGTGTGAGACAACACCAGATTTCAACTCTTCACATCCATAAGTGATACACTCAAGAGGCAGACTCAGTGAGCACCAAAGCCCCACTAAAGCAAGTCCTGCCCCATAAGGGTATCTCCAGCACAGAAGTTCTTCCATTATAGACACAGCTGATCCTCACAGCCAATTGGCCTGGAGGTCAATTTCCCTCAGTGTACCAACAGCAATCAAGGCTTAACTACAACAAGACTATGCACCCAGCCTACAAAAAGGTACACTAAGAGTGTCTACCTCAGGTGATTGGGGAGGCTAAACCACTAGGCCCTATAGGTCACCTATCACACAAAGCCACTCCATCAACACAGGGAAATGGTCAAAATGCAGAGACAAAGAAATGGAGGAAAGCAAACTACTGGATATAGAATTCAAAACCACTGTTATAAGGTTACTCAAGAATCTTCTAGAAACCTCCAAGGAACTTAGTGAGACCTTTTAGGATCTTAATGAGAATGCAAAAAAAAAAAAAAAAAAAAAAAAGGAAAAGAACCAGTCAGAAATTAAGCATACACTGACTGAAATACAGAAATACAGAAATCCAACAGTAGACTATCCCCCATGCCATGTCAGGATGACCTCTGGATAACCTCTGGATCTGGAACCAGACTCCAGCAGCCTTGCCTCAAGAAGCTAACCCAGTAGTCTGGATGGCTGTGAAATCAGTGTTTTCATCTTTTCCCCAGGAGCTCTGTGGCTGTTTAAAAAAAAAAAAAAAAAAAAAAAAAAAAAAAAAAGGCACATTTACTTGCCCTGGAGAGATGTGGTGGCTGAAGAAGCTTGGAGAAGGGTGGATGGATGAGGTCAATGTTAATTTTGCAGATTTTAAAAAGATACATATTGCCAAGACAGCTAACAACATCTAGCAATCCTAGGTAACAAAGCAAGCAAATGAAGCACCATCACATAGCAGTTTATATATATTAACTTGGTAAGAATGACAAATTTATACTGTGTCAGATCATTTTTATTTATTTCTGTAAAATTGTCCTTATAATTAAGTTTCTTATCTCTTTCCCCTGTTCATTCTTATCCTCTCACCTTCTCTCTCTTCCTCCCTCCCTCCCTTCCCCCTCTCCCCCCATACACACCCACACACCAACATTCACAGTCAGGAGAGAAGCCAGAGATCATGGACCCAGATGCAGGTGGATGGGCAGAGGTGGTGACGGGAGTGTGCAAATGCTCTCTGCTGATTGCTCCTTTCCCCCTCAGAGAAATAGGAAGCAGGGTCACCAGTTGAGTTTGAGGAAGAAGTTTTGCGGCTTGAGAAAATGGAGTCTGAAAGTCCAAATTCGTTTTGAAGTGTGCCTGTGATGAAGAGTGAGGATCTGCAAAGCAAATATACTAGGTTTTCTAAAGTCTTTCCCTATTGTCTCCAATTGTGGCTAAAGTCTAATACCATAAAACAGCAAATACTAAGCCCCTACCCTCCTACTCCCCCACCCCCCACGTTCTCAAAAGAATGGAAGGATTTGAAAAACAAATTCCTGTAAGACTTGTTAGGAGGTAGCAGTACTGCTCTGTGGTCAGATCTCCCTTCTGCACATAAAGTCATGAGTCATAGTTCTGAGGGGATGCGGGGTGTGGGTACAGGAATGGGGAATCTTCCTTACCTCTCACAACATCTGGGTTTGCAGCTGAGACCGGTAACCTCATGAAGGTGATAGTGGCATCTATTTCCAAGTTAGCTGTCCCCTGGGCAACCTCATCTGTCCTCAGGGCCTATGTGAGCAGGAAATGTAAAGACAGTGGCAGGCCGAGCAGCTGTGACAAGGAGGGATGAGTTTCCCTCATATTGAGTGGACCCCTCAGAAGACATCTGGTTTGAGCCTTTCAAACCAGTGTTCTACCCATGAGGCCAGTCTTAGGGCAATATGGGGGAGAGCAAGGAGCCCCAGAAGAGGGAGGGGAGTAATGAAAGAGGCAGCCAGGTCCCCTCTTCTCCTCTGAGTCTCTTTGGCCCAGGACTGACCTTGGTGGGGACAAAAAAGAGCATGACATAAAAGTCTTAGAATTGATTAAACTGCATTGGGATTCCCACTTTTGGGTGTATCTCCAAAGGAAATGAAAACAGGATCTTGAAGAGGTATCTGCACTCCTGTGTTCACTGCAGCCTTATGCAGCATAGCCAAGATGTGCAAACAACCTAAGTGTTTTCAACAGATGAATGAAAAATCCCCTATATAATAAGAGGTAATATGCAAATTTACCATCACTCCAACACACAAGATGACCACCCCATGTGGACACAAGATGACCACCACAAGATGGCCTGCAGGGACGGCAGTTGGGAGGGACCAAACCTGTAAGGAGGGCAGATTGGGGCAATCAGGCATACAAAGGAGGGCAGTTAGGAGTGACCAGGCCAGCAGGGGAAGACAGTTTGGGGGGATCCAGGCCTGCAGAGGAGGGCAGTTAGGGGCAATCAGGCCAGCAGGGGAGCAGTAAGGAATTGATCAGACTGGCAGGAAAGTTCTTACGGCATGATCAGGCTGGCAGGCAGGTGAGTGGTTGGGAGCCAGCAGTCCTGGATTGTGATGGGGCCTAAATGGGCAGTTGGATATCCCTTGAGGGGTCCCAGATTGGAGAGGGAGTAGGCTGGGCTGAGGGACAGCCCCAGTCTCCCTGTGCACAAATTTCGTGCACCAGGCCTCTAGTAAATAAAATTATCTCACACTTTATTTATGAGATAATTTTGCCAAGGCTGACCAACAGCCCCTGAACAACGGATGAACAGATTTCTCCAACAAAATTTCACTGTGGGGGAGAGGGCTACGGGACTGCCCGGCTAAAGAAGCCAGGCAGCCCCAATTGCTTGCCTCGTTAGGCTTTTATTGGAATTTTTATCTTTAGATACAACCAGTAGAGTGTGTAATCTTGAGAGGACACATGTGTTTGCATTGTCCTCTAGGCAAGGGCATCCAGGGATTAAGCATAGAATTCCAGTAAACCCGCGGGAGTCTGCAAGTGCACAGACTTGTTTGGAAAGATCAAGGAATAATTAGGGGTGCCACCTTTGACATTCCCCTAAGTTTCCCCTAAGTCTGAATTCCGATAAATTGAGCAGGTGGCCTTCCACACACTTCCCCTTTATCAGAATGTCCACGTTAGAACTTTCCAAAGAAGTCTCTTGTGCTCCCCAACCATTCGTATATATGAAACTTAATTCATATTGGCATATATGTCTATATTTATATTTATATATCTATATATATTTTCCACACACACACAACATGGATGGTCCTTTAGAGCATTATACTAAGGGAATAAGCCAGACAAGAAAGACAAATACTATATTGTGTCATTTATATTTGGAATTTTTTTTTTATTTAAGTCAAATTCATAGAAAGAGAGTAGAAAAGTGGTTGTCAGGGCCTGGGGGTTGGGAAAAATAGGAAGAGTTGACAAAAGGGTACAAACTTTCAGCTGTAAGATAAATAAGGATCTGACTTAAAACATGGTGATTGTAATTGATAACATTGTAGTATATAATTGAAATTTATTAAGAGTAGAACTTAGATGTTCTCATACACACAAAAAAAGATAAATATGTGAGATGATGGGGTGTTAATTAGATAAATAAAATCATTTTATAATGTACAAATTATCAAATCACCACAGTTTACACTTTAAATATCTTATCATCTGTATATCAATTATATTGTACCTCAATAAAACTGAAATTAAAAAACAAACAAACAAACAAAAAAAACTGGACTGGGATGAACTGGATTGGGTTTTTAATACTCGCCACCCAACAACCCCAAGACCAAAAAACTGTGTGATCTGCCCAAGATGACTCTGAGAGACAGGAAAAGCAGCTTCAAAAGAGAATGCATGAGGCTCAAGCTGGAGAAAATAAAATCATTTCATGTTTGCTTCTTATTCAGAACATTCGCCAAACCAATTACAAAACACGCCACGCCTCACATTGTTAAATACACTCTTCTGCCCTTTTCTATATTGTAAGATATAAGCATCTTGGGTCTGTTGTTTGACCAGTGTGAATAGAATTCAAGTGCTCTGTCTTGCAAATGCAGGCTTTACCAACCACTGGTAGGACAAAACTCAGAAAGGGCCTTCCTGTCCAAAGTTGGCATAGGTGAATGCTGTACTTGTGTCCTCCCACAACCACATCAGAATTACAACTAAACTCAGAAAAACCATCATTCAGAAACAACTGAAACTGAGCTGAATGAAAGTCTTACAAGGAAAGAATTAAAGAAGAAGCAACTTCAAGATTGGTAGGAGGAAAAAAAAAAAAGATTGGTAGGAGGGGTAGAGACTCGGAACGGGTTGATCACATCCGTTAAAATCAGGAGAGTCCTGGCAGGTGTGCTCATGGTTAGAGCTTTAGCCCACACTACAAAGGGTCTTGCAAAACATACCTGGTTTGCAAGTTCACTCCCTGCCATGCCTCTGGTCAGGGCATGAGAGGGAGGCAACCAGTTGATGTGTTTCTCTCAGATCAGTGTTTCTCTCTCACTCTCTCTCTTCCTCCCTCCCTCCCGCCCTTCCACTTTCTCTGAAAAGCAATGGAAATATCCTCATTTGAGGCTTGACAACAACAAAACTTGGGAGGGATTTCAGCTACAAAGTTTCCCCTGAGGAATGACAGGTCCCGCCCCACACCAGGCCCCCCAGGCCAGGATTCTAGTGTCAGGAAGAGAAGTCCCTACAACTTCCGGCTGTAAAAACCAGCTGGGATTGTGCCTGAATAATCAGGGCAGGTTTTATCAAGAAGGCCTATCTGAGATGGGTTTGAAGGATGAGTACAAACTTATCAGGAAATGAAGAGAGGGGTGATATATTCATTAGACATCATTAGCAGTGCAGCATGACCAATTTGTTATTTGTAAAGATAACTCTGGAGGGCAACGAAGATGGCAAGAATGGAGATAGGAGGCTGACCACATTCACGTAATACAGACGGATTACGTATTTTCTGTGTGCTAGGTTCTGTACAGAGGAGAATAAAGACAAGTAAATAAGCAACAACAAACTAATAACACGTTAAGTGCCATGCCCAGGACCAGCATCTCCACAGATGTGATTAGCTTGGGTTGCAGAAATCCAAGTAAAAAATACTTGCTTCAAAAAGATAAAAGAGCCCTAACCGGTTTGGCTCAGTGGATAGAGTGGACTGAAGGTTCCCAGTTCAATTCTGGTCAAGGGCATGCACCTTGATGGCAGGTACATACCCAGTGGAGAGTGCAGGAGGCAGCTGATTGATGTTTCTCTCTCATCGATGTTTCTCTCTATACATCTCCCTTCCTCTCTGTGAAAAATCAATAAAATATATATTTTTAGAAAAGGTAAAAGAGGTGACAGATGTAAAGGATATTTAGGAGATAGAATCATCTAGCAGAATCAGCTGTGTACACTGCTGGCTGTTCCCATGCACCTTACAGCCTGCCACTGCAAGCATCTGAGTCTCTACTTGAAGGCATTAATGTTTGCCTCGCACAAGAGGCAGGCTGAGAAGCACCAGGGGCTTACCAGTGAGGACCGCCAATGTCAGATGGAAGTTGGTGGATAAATACTCCAGGTCTGCTTATCTCTCATGGGGGGCAACCATGAGGAATGCCTTACAGAAAGGACCCACAAGGACCGAGTCCCAGCTGCTAACAGTGGTAACCTGCTCATTACTGCACCATGTACTGCCTCCCCTCTCTTCCCTGTCTCGCAACCCCATGGTCATACCAATGCTCCCTGGTATCACCTCTCAAATAAACTATCTGTACTCAAATCCTTGCCCCAGGTTCCACTTTTGGGGTAACTCAACCTGAAACAACAGAAAAAACTTAATGAAAGATTAACTGATGAAAATGATGACAGAAATAGGAGGCTATAAGATTTCTAGCTTGGGAGATGCTGACCCCATCACCCGAGTTAAAGACTCTTCAGGGGAGGAAGAAGACAGATTCCGGGAGAACAGAATGAGCCTGGGAAGACTGAGTTTCAGGGGCCCCGGGGACTTGTTATCTCAAAATTCCCTGAGGACGTACAAGGTTAAGACTCTTGACTTTGGAAAACGTGAAAAGAAATTGAGCAGAAAGGGGACTACGTAAGAGGAAAAAAACAAACAAAAAAACACACAAACAAACAAACAAACAAACAAAAAAAAAACCACCAGAAATGAACATCCTCTCTCCCTAAAGGGCAAAGAAGTCCCTATCTTCCTTCGACCCAAGAGAATATAAAGCCCTGGCTACTTCTTCCAACCGGCTTCTGTATTCTAGTTTCTCATAGTTGGAGGGACTCACTCCTTTAAAACCATGCATGACTCCCCACCAGCAGCCAGCAATGGCAGCTGTAGAATCGCTGTCTCCGCCATGGAAAAAGGCTCGGTGGGCAAGCTCCTTCCAGGAGTCTCCCGCAGCAAGGATGGCATCGTAGGCAATCATAGGGGCATCGTGTCCACTGCTGCCGCCCCAGCCAGAGTAGCTCACAGAGGTGTAGAACTGATCCCTCTCCTTCACACCGTAGGGCTTGGGGAAGGTAGGGGCTGACTTGCCATCCAAAATCCCTCTAAGTTTTAGGTACTTTTCCCATTGGTCTTGGAAGTAGGACCTGTAGGGAGGAAAAGAATCTACAGTCAATTGAAAAGTTGGTAACCACAGGGAAAGGTATCAGACGGATGTGTGAACAGAAAAAAAACTCAAAGAGGACTTCAACTTCTTATAATAATATCATACATGACATTAAAAATTTAAAATGAACTCTAAGTAAGAGCCATTCAATAAAGTTTTGCTAAGGATTGATATAAGCAAGGCTCTGATGCCTATTGCTAAATTAGAAAGGCACATAGCAAGTTAAAGGTGAGAATTAAAGATGTGTGGGGGGTTTTCTGGTTTTTTTTTAGAATAATGTCAAATGTCACCTTTCAGGGGGCACACTTTATTTATTTAGTCTACCCTTATACATTTTATTTTCTAATAAGAATTATATATATATTTAGGTATACAACATAATGATGTGATATACCGTATTTTTCGGACCATAAGACGCTCCAGACCATAAGACGCACCAGTTTTTAGAGAAGGGAAATGAAGAAAAAAAGATTCTGAAACAAATAGTGTCCTAAAATATTTTATGTGCATTAAAACCCAACATCACAGTCATAAACACATGTAATCAACCCTGTAAAGTAAACAGCAGCATTTAGAACCATTTTAGAGCCGGGCAAGCACACAGAGACCACACAGAGCCAGGCAAGTAAAAAAAACTTTTTTTTAAAAAGCATATGTGTAGGCTGTATTTGGACCATAAGACGCAGGGACTTTTTCCCCCCACTTCTGGGGGGAAAAAAGTGCGTCTTATGGTCCGAAAAATACGGTACATATACATGGTGAAATGATTACTACAGTCAAACTAATGAACACATCATCTTCTTCTAGAGTTGTGTGTTGTTGGTTTTTTCAAAAGGGAATTTTGTAACATCATGATCATGGGTGATTAAAGCAGGAAGCCTCTGGACCTTTTTTATTCTAAGAAAGGCAATGTGAAGTAAACTCAGAAAAAGGGGGAAATGTGGTTTTACCACTTACTAATTAACTAGTAAAAACAAAAAACCACCACCTATTTCTCAGGTATCTTAGATGAGGATTTCAAATTACTATGTGTCAAGTCAACACTGAAAAACAAGGTCCAGGAGATGAATGGGAAAATTCATCTCAGTCAATATATATATATATATATATATATATATATATATATATATATATATAAAATTGATTTTTTACAGAGAGGAAGGGAGAGGGATAGAGAGCTAGAAACATCGATGAAAGAGAAACATCGACCAGCTGCCTCTTGCACACTCCCTACTGGGGATGTGCCCACAACCAAGATACATGCCCTTGACCAGAATCGAACCTGGGACCTTTCAGGCCGCATGCCAACGCTCTAGCCACTGAGCCAAACCGGTTTTGGCTCATCTCAGTCTAGATAGCCACAAAGACTATAGGAAGAGGATCCCTATACATGAGGGAAGCACTGCAGCTGCACTACTCATTGAGGTCTTCACTGGGCCACCCAGTGGCAACCACTGCTAGGACTTGAAGTCCAGGTGGGCAGAGAGGGGGCTGAATGCAGTAGATGACAAAACTGGATGGTGAGAACCATGACAGTAGCTATGATCTAAGAGCTCTAAGCACACACAGGCATGCATGTGTGCACACAGGCGCAATGATTTTCCAGCAGGAGTATGCACCTATAAACTTACCAGTGCTCAAGATTCTGCTCCACGAAGTAGCCTGCTTGGACAACGTACTTCTTAGCTTCTGGCAGCACCTCCATCAGTCCTTGTCCCCACTGCCAGGGAGGCTTGCCATTCACAGCATAGGCTGTGAAAAGAGCAGACACAAGAGCGCCCAGGTAGCCGGTGGGGTGGTGGTGGGTCATCCGGCCGCTCTCGATGCTCACCTGGATCAGCGTGTCCAGCTGGCTGGGGTGAGGGAACCTGAGGCCGATGCACATGGCTCGCATAGCGGCCCCACAGCCGCCCTCGTGGTTGTTAAAGGGAATCCTCCAGCCGTTGTCTTTGTCCGGCTCCAACAGCATGGCGTTCTTTACGGAAGCACCTCCTGGGGAAGAGTCAGGGAAGGTATAGGGTCAGTGTAGCCAGAGCAAAGGCTCCGGCAGGAGGAAAGACCGAGCTCTGGTTCCAAGTCTCTTCAATGGAAACTGGGGGGGAGGGGGGAGATTATGATGAACACCCTCAAACTCCAAGCCAACATTGTACCTTACCTTATATATAACCCTTAGCCTGATAAGATTAATAATAAAAGAAGCAGATTTGTGTAGAGAGCCTTGGGATCTTTGCCAGTTAATACTGAGAAAGCACAGTAACTCAAAAAGGTAAGTATAACATATTATCCTCTTTTTTTAAATAAATAAGCTAAGGCTCAGAGCTTAAGAACCTTGCTCAAAATCATGTAACCAGCTCATTAGCAGCCCCATCAAAACCTTTTCCTCCAAGCCCAAGCCCTTAAAGACCCCAAGGAGATCCTAACAATTGGAATTCCCAAATGTCAGAAAGAGGACAGCTGGAGTGAAGAGCACGAGGCTCAGAGGACGGAGCAATGGGTTCAGAGCCACAATGTGTCCTTGGTTTCCCCCACCTCTGTGAGAGCCGTGTAATCAGGCTTGTCTTATCACCCTATCCTACTGGGAACTGGGAATGCACACATGAAGAAGCAGTGGCAGTTATATATGGTGGGGTGTGGTGTGGTATTACTGTCCCCTTATGGTTAGTTATTCACAACAAGGTCATGGAAGGCATAAGTGGACAAAGAAACCTTTCCACTTGTCAATCGGATGAGATATCAGATGTAGAGAAAGAATGAACAGACTGGCTTTGCATGCCAATTCTTGGTGTCACCAGAGACCCTGGGTATGTGTGTGAGACAGGGAGCATTTTCATCAGGAGGCACTTTTCATCAGCTCATAAGCTGAATTGTGTCCCCTAAAATTCGTAGAACCTCAGAATGTGGCTGTTTTAAGAGACTGGACCTTTAAAGAGGTGATGAAGTTGAAATGAGAACATCAGCCCTACATGTTTGGCTCGGCCTTGGGACTGAAGGTCCCAGGTTCAATTCCAGTCAAGGGCATGTACCTTGGTTGCGGGCACATCCCCAGTGGGGGGTGTGCAGGAGGCAGCTGATTGATGTTTCTCTCTCATCGATATTTCTAACGCTCTATCCCTCTCCCTTCCTCTCTGTAAAAAAATCAATAAAATATATATTTTTTTTTAAAGAAATGAGAACATCAGAGTGGGCCCTAATGCAATGTGATGAGTATAAGAAGAAATCAGGACACGCACAGAGACACCGGGGATGTGCTCTGTGAAAGAGAGGACACAGATATAAGCCAAAGAGAACCGCCTCAGAAGAAACCAAACTTGCCGACACCTTGACCTCAGACTCTGAGCCTCGGAAACAGTGAGGAAATAAAGGTTCGTTAAGCCACCAGCCTGTGGCATTTTGTGATGGCAGCTCAAGCTGATTAATACAGGAGGAGGGGCAGGTCAGATGGGCTTGGGAAAGGTGATTTAAATCCCCTGGTGACACAAGTGACTGCAACAATTTCCCAAGGGGGCAAGAACACTTGAAGCAAACCTGAAACAAAAGGAGTCTCGGCAAGACACTTTCCATTTTCTTTAAAAAGAAAATAAAATGTTTCCTTTATACTTGTTCATTATAGAAAACTTAGAAAATACTAATAAGCAAAAGAAAATAAGAAACTATAAATACTCCCACTACACAGATATAATTATGAATATCTTTATGTGTGTTCTTCCAGACTTCTCCCAAGAAATGTACATGTATCCTTTATTACCAGTGAATTTATAAAGTACATCTGGATTTGTAATCTATGTAATTTTTCATTTAATATATAATAATAGAGACCCAGTGCATGAAATTCATGCAGGGGGGAGGGTGTCCCTCAGCCCAGCCTGCACCCTCTCCAATCTGGGACCCCTCGAGGGATGTCCATCCAGGTAGGATCAGGCCTAAATGAGCAGTCATACATACCTCTCACAATCCAGGACTACTGGTTCCCAACTGTTTTCCTGCCTGCCTTCCTGATTGCCCTTAACCACCTCTGCCTGCCAGCCTGATCACCCCCTAACCACTCCCCTGCCAGCCTGATTGATGTCTAACTGCTCCCCTGCCAGCCTGTTTGCCCCCAACTTCCTTCCTCTACCGGCCTGCCACCCCTAACTGCCCTCCCCTGCAGACTTAATCGCCCCCAACTGCCTCCCTTGCAGGCCTGGTCCCTTCCAATTGCCCTCCCCTGCTGGCCATCTTGTCGCAGACATCTTGTGTCCACATGGGGACAGCCATCTTGCGTATTGGAGTGATGGTCAATTTGCATATTACTCTTTTATTAGATAGGATAGAGGCCTGGTGCACAGGTGGGGCCAGCTGGTTTGCCCTGAAGGGTGTCCCGGATCAGGGTGGGGCTTCCCTTGGGGCACGGGGTGGTCTGGGCCAGGGGCCTGTGGTGGTTTGCAGGACAGCTATGCCCCCCCGGGTAACCCAAGTGGAGGCCCTGGTATCTGGGATTTATCTATCTTCTATAATTGAAACTTTGTAGCCTTGAGTAGAGCCAAGTCTCCTATTCGCTCTGTGGCCACAGCCATTTTTGTTGGGATTTATTTATCTTCTATAATTGAAACTTCATAGCCTTGAGCAGAGGCCAAGGCAGGCCAGGGCTGTGGAAGCTTAGCTTCCTCCATCACCAGGGGAAACTCAAGCCTGCTGCTCTCTCCAGCACCATGGCTACCGCCATTTTTGTTGGGATTTATTTATCTTCTATAATTAAAACTTGTAGCCTTGAGTGGAGTCCGGGGCCAACCAGAGAAGGCAGAAAGCTTGGCTTCCTCCATTGCCAGGGAAACCCAGGCCTCCCTCCTGCTCACTCTGTGGCCACAGCCATCTTGGTTGTATTAATTTGCATACTCACTGATTGGCTGGTGGGCCTGGCTTGTGGGTATTACGAAGGTACAGTCAATTTGCATATTGCTCTTTTATTAGATAGAATCCTTTCATATCAGAAAATATTTATCTGTATAATTTTAAGTGGCTGTATATGTATCGCCATAAATAAATTATGGGACATTTTTTATCACAATTATAAAAACTACTGTCTCCTTGATATGTAAATCTCTGTGTCAACATTAATGACTTCCTTGGGCCTGTTTTATTGTCTACTTGCCCAAGACCTCCACTGGCTGCCCTCACCTGGTGCTCGGCCATCCATGTCTTTCATGCAGTCTTGGTAATGCTTAGCAAGGAGGGGATACAGTCGACCCAAGTCTGAGACTCTTCCAGCTTCCACAAGAGCGTCGGCCGTGGCCAGGTGCATCACGGTGTCATCGCTGACTCTCCACCCCTGCACGTCTATGGCATCCAGGCCACCAAGCTGGGCCAGCTGCTGGTGAATCTTCTCCCCACTCCGGAGGAACTCCCACAACCCGTTGAAGTACCCCAAGGCATCTCCTGCTGCACTCAGCACCATGGCAGCCACATACCTCTCAATCAGTCCCCCACTCATGGTGAGGCCGTCTGCAGGGGGAAATTAAGAACCACAGACAAGGAGAAAGGGAGAAAAAAAAAATCAGAAAAAAATAACAGATTTATCATTTTATTGAGCATTCACTACTTGAAGGCACTGTATTAAGTGCACCTTATTTAATACTCACAATTGCTCTGTGAGGAATGTATTATTAGGCCCATCTTACGAATGAGTTAAATGAGGGCTAAGAGATAATACTGTTTCAGAAATGCTAAGTGACTTGTCTTGGGTCACTGAGCTAAGCCCATGATTTTAACTACCACTCCATCTTTGTCTCTCTGGGAGTGTCAAGCCCATTACATTCTGCAAGGCAAGCCAAGCTTATCATTTTCTTTTTAGTGGGGACTTGGCCTTGGAAGTGCTTTCCTCCTTTACTTAAACAATACTTCCCATTACAAAGCACAGTTCACAAGGCACCTGCACGTTCGCTGTCTCATTTTTTTTAGGCAAGATTGCATTTCACAGATAAGAAAACTGGGGATTTCCCTAGCTGATTGGCTCAGTGGTTAGAAGGGTCTCGGTTTCAATTATTGTCAAGGGCATGTACCTTGGTTGCAGACTTGACCCCCAGCACCAGTCAGGTGCATGCAGGAGAAAACAAATCGAGGTATCTCTCTCACATGGATGTTTCTTTCTCTCTATCTCTCTCCCTCTCTACTTTCTCTACTACTCGATGGAAAAATGTCCTCTGATGAGGATTAATTTTTTTTTAAGAGAGGAAAAAAAACAAACACACACAAAAAAACCTGGGGCTCAGAGAAGGTAAATTAACATAACCAGCGAGTGGAGGCACTGGGACCCCAATCTGCTGATTCCAGGCAACTCACCCAGCACAGATCTACTCACTGGACAATATCTTTGTGTCTCAGCCTCTACATCTCTAAAATGGTGATAAAAATAGTAACAATTGCCTGGGTTTGTTCTGAGGAGTAAATAAATAGATTTTTTTGTTAAGCACTTAGACCAGTGCTTAGCACATCATAAGCACTATTTGTATTATTCATACTAGAGGCCTGGTGTACAAATGTGCAGGGGGGAGGGGGATCCCCTTAGCCCAGCCTGCACCCTTTCCAATCCAGGACTCCTTGAGGGATGTCCAACTGCCCGATCCTGGGGATCAGGCCTAAAACGGCAGTCAGACATTCATCTCACAATCTAGGACCACTGGCTCCTAACTGCTCACCTGCCTGCTTGCCTGATGGCCCCTAACTGCCCCCCTGCCAGCCTAGTCACCCCCAACTGTCATCCCCCCCCCCTCGGCCTGGTTGCCCCTCACTGCCTCCCCTCCCTCCCCACTGGCCTGTTCACCCCCCACAGCTGTTTGGTCCTCTGTTTGGTTGCAATGCTCGCTTAGGCTTTTATTATTATGAATACAACCAGGGAAAAGATTTTTCTCTTACTGAACGAGAATACTTTCTTCTCACAACCTTCCTTTCAATAACAACATTTAAATTCTGTTTTTCTTCTAAATGATTACCTTCTAGAGTCCTAGGAGCTCAGCTAAGATAACCTCCATGAATCTAATCCTGGTCAAGTGCTGGTTCTCCTGCAAGGTGCGTTTCCAGTTCTCCCCTGTCTCCTGGTGCCTCAACGCTCAAGTTCTAGGTCTCACGTTGAAAGCCTTTACTGGACCCATCCCCCCCACTGCATAGGCCAGCTAAGCACCTGATAGACTAGCACCTCCTCAGCTCAAGCTCTTTCCACACCCAAGATGCCCACCCTCCCTCCCACTTACCCAAACCCTATTGACTCAGGGTTTACAGTTCCAGTGCTGGGGCTTCCAAGAGTCCTTCCCGAGCTGCACTGCCACCGGCCTGGGACCGCAGGCTGGCCAGCACCTGGGGAAGAGTGAATGAAGGCTGAGCCTATCAGTCCTGAGCTTGCTGAGTTTCTCAGCTCCCAAAGGACATTTGTAAAACGTTAGTTACATGCTTTATTATTATAAGTGATGCCTAGAAACTGGAGTTGTGGGCCACTAGACCTGAGTCTGCCAAGAATCAGCTGCGTGATTGTGGGCAAGCCACCCACCCTGGGCCTGGATTTTCCCAACTTGTACTAGTAATCAGAGAGAGGGAGGGGGTGGAAGGAGGCCACAGGTGCTCGCTGGGCTCCGGGCCTGCGCTGGCGGCTTCACAGGACCAGTGTTAGTCCCTCTGGCCCCGTCCTCCCAATGTCCTCAGCTTCCTTTCTGTAGTTCCTCTGGCTCCACCCAATATGTGTTTTGTGACTTACAAGCGGGGAATTGGGAGAGGGGGAGCGGGGGGATGGGGGGGGGGGGGGGGGGGGGACAATGACCATCTCTTTCCGCTGGAAAATCCTTTTAACTTTCACAAGGAACAGCCCTAGCCTTCCGCTTTCAGGCCGCGCTCACCTTTTACATTCCTCGGAGCATTTACAAGTCTCTCCCCAACTATAAATTCGAAACTTAAGGTTGCTCAGCTGTTTCCAGGCAGACCTCAACTTCTTTCTGGAGGGGCGGGCGGGGCGGGGCGGGGCGGGGGGGGGGGGGGGGGGGAGAAACACGCCTGTCCCAGACGGGATGGGGGAGGAGGGCGACCCCGAAACGCTGCGCCCGAGTGCACCAGGTCCCCGGGGAGGTGGGGTGACCGAGCACCCGGGACAAGGCCGACACAGGGAAGGCAGGAGGGGGAGGGAGAGCTGGTGGGACCTGGTCAGCGCCTGGAGAGGGGCGCGGGGGGGGGGGGGGGGGGGCGGGGAAGGAGCGGGCAGAGGAAGGGGCGGGAGAGGGACGCCAGGGGAAAGGGAAAGGAGGGAGAGGGGTGCGCGGGGGGGGGGGGGGGGAAAGGGGCGGGAGAGGGGAGGCAGGGAAAGGAGGGAGAGGGGTGCGCGGGGGGGAAGGGGCGGGAGAGGGACGCCAGGGGAAAGGGAAAGGAGGGAGAGGGGTGCGCGGGGGGGGGGGGGGAAGGGGCGGGAGAGGGGAGGCAGGGGAAGAGGGAAGGAGAGGGGCGTGCAGGGCGAGAAGGCGGGAGCGGAGCGCGCCCGGGAAGGGGGCGGGAGAGGGGCGCGCAGGGGAAGGAGCGGGAGAGGGACAGAAGGGGAGGAGGTGGAAGAGGGGAGGCAGGGGAAGGAGGCAGGAGGCAGGGGAGGACAGCAAGGCGGGTACCTAATGGCCGAGGAGTGGGGACGCGAGACTGGGGCGGGTCGCGGCGAGTTCCGGATCCGGCGCGTGGCACCGGGCGGCGGGGATTCGGGCTTTGCCTCGGGCGGAGCCGCGTTCGGGGCCGGCACCGCGCAGAGAAACCAACGGAGCGGTGCCTTCTGCTCCCGCGATCTCCGGCCCCGGAGCGGCTCCCGCCCCGCGATCTCCGGCCCCGGAGCGGCTCCCGCCCCGCGATCTCCGGCCCCGGAGCGGCTCCCGCCCCGCGCGGGGGGCACCACGGGGCCTGCTCGCCTGCCGCCGGGCCGGGAGGCTCGGGCCGCGACCCCAGATCCGGCTTCCTGTCGGCGGCCCCCGTGGGCCCCGGGCCGAGGCCTGGTCTTCCCGCCGGCTGTGTGGCCAAACACTTAGAAAAAGGGCCTTTTTCAACTTTCTGGGCGCCTCACCCGTGAAGGCGGACCAGAACTGGACTCCCGAGGGTGGCTGCTAGGATTCATTTTAACTCCTGGCATTTATTTGGCAGCTGAAGATTGTTTTCCATCCTGCTAGTAAATAAAAGCAAAGAAATACTAAGAGAACTTTTGTCTAAATAAGTAAGTGAACGTGCCAGTTAAAAAAAAAAAATTAGAATCAACATATATGTGTACTAAGAAGAGACTCGGGCTAGAATAAAGAACGGAGCATTTGTAAGAGCAAAAGCGGACGGAAATCTGCGGCAGGTCCATTCTCGGAAATTCCTGACTGCAAGCCCTCAAGGGCCCGAGGGCTGACCTTGAGCAGGGGTTTTCAAATGGTTTTCACACTGAATATTTTCTGCAAATAAAGCCTTACCTAAGGCCCTGGGTGCGTGTTGAAAGGGTTGGGAAGGCTGGGCAGGATTCCCCTCTCCCCTGTAGGAGATGGGGGTTGGGGAGATAGGGTGGGGCAGCCAGGAGAGAGGGCGAGCCCTGGGGAGAGCAGTGGCTGATCTTTACTCACGGGGACAGAAGAGCTTCAATATTTTCAGGACTGCGTGTTCATGCCAGTGTGGCTGGGCCAGTGAACTCATCTTTCACAGCAGGAAGTCAATCTAGACACACAAAAATGAGATCTTGAGAATAATAGTGCCTTCAACCTTTAATGTTCTCACAATTTCTTTTCCTTATTTTAGTCTTGAAGATATTTTAGGGGAAGTGCCTCGTGTCTAGAGGAAATATTTTATACGAATTCAGCAATTCCATCAACATGTCTTTCTTGTTTGTGAAATTCAAGTAAAATTAAATTTAAAATGTTTTCCGAAATGTGATTCTTATCGTTTTATAAAACTATCTCTACCTATCTGAAGAAAAAAAAAAAAATCTGTGGCCGGCCGTTAGGCACAGTAGCAGAGCAAGGACAATGGGCCAAGTATAGAGGTCACCAGAGCAGAAAGCCCCAGGGGCCTGGCGACAGGCAATTGGAGGGTGGAACCTTACCCCCAGGGTGACCTTTCCTCCCCTAGCAATCAGTGGTCCTGCAGTTTGGACCCCCTAACCTTCCCTTCTAGAGATAAGCTCTAGGCCTCGGTTATATTTCAGCTCAAGGCCGAGAAAAACAACAAAACCAGACGACAGGCCCCCATGGCTGACCTCAGGACCAGCTGCATTGAATAACAACCCCCTGCCCAGGCACCAATTAATCAATCAGTGGAGACCTAGACTCTGAGAGGGCACACCCGGGAAATTGCTGAATATTCTATTGAGATCATCCCTGGGGATTGCCCCTAAAATCTCCACCCTTAGGACAAAGGACCCAGCCTGCTCTCCCTTTTCCCTCTCTCTCCCCTTTCCCTCCCCCAGGCATTACACAAGCTCCAAGGGCCCTTCCTTTACCTTGGTAACTTGTTTCCTAAGCCCATCTCTTCTACAAATTACTTCTTCCGCCTCTGTGATTTTATAAATAAGCTAGAGGCCCCATGCTCGAAATTCGTGCAGGGGGCTCGGCCCTCACAACCGCAGCGGCTTGCCTCAGCCCTCGCAGCCCCAACTGCTCCAGAAGGACATCCGGAAGGTAGTTCAGCTCTCGGGTCTAATTAGCATATTGCACTTTTATTATTGTAGATAAGGAGTCTTGGCATTGAACTCTTTCCTAGCCAGGCTCAAGTATGGAGGTTGCTGAACCCAGGTGCAGTCTGACCCCACCCATCTGACAACTGGTGCAGTTCCCACGGCCTATCCAAGGAGCAACCCCGACTACGCCACAGTGATCAAAGAAAGGCAGGGTTTATTAAGGCAAAAACCACAAAGTGTAATTTTTCCCCTCATGCAAATGAAGGATTTCTGGCTAGTTAACAGGGTGAGATCAGTCCAATATGCAAACTAGAGTGTGTTTCAAAACTTCAAAGAGGTTAAGTCCACTTATATCCTTGGGAACAGTGATTCCTGTGATGGGGGAAAATGAGACATTTGGGGGGAGTGGCTAGCAATCTGAATTTGTGCTATGAACCTAATGCACATTCTTGTTAGCCTATATAGTCTAGCCACTGCCCCTTTAATAATCTGGTCCTGCAAGACCTGTTTACCCAAAATACTATTCCCATTTTAGAGAGGCCATAAACCATCCCCAGTTGGAGTTACCAGTGCTGGTGCCAAGGCCGGGCCTTTAGTTGTGGTCTCAAGGCCCCAGCATGTGGGGCTTTTAAAAACTTGCAAAGGGGACCAAAACACGCTTTTTTGGGGAGACCAACGGCTAGAAAGATATAAAAAGGGAAAGCTTCCTCCATGCTTTTGCTCACTCATTTGAGAGACGTCTTTCCTTGAGCCCGCTGGCCTAATAAACAGTGTAACTCCATTTCTCTAAGCGTTGCTTGGTTTTTCTCTGGTCTTCTGTAACACCGGTATGTCTATGGCTCAGCCTGAGGCCGAGTTTAGCGACTGATCAGTAGCTCTGAGAACAGAGGCCCCAAAGTCCGTGGGCCCCATTCTCTTACTTGTCTCCTGACTCTCTTTAAGTGACTCAGCAATGTTTATTCCATTTTATTTTTTTTCTATTATAATTAATATTCTGTATACCTACCCAATTTTTTTATTTGCAATGCCTATTTTTTTTCTGGTTGTACTGACCTAGACTTGGCCTGAGAGCTTTAGGGGGGGAAAAATTTGAGATTCAATTTACATGTAATGAAATGCACTCATTTGGTGTGTTATTCAGTGAGCTTTGATTGTGTCTCTTGGCACTCTCCACCTGGGTGACAAAGGGGAAAGCAGTTCCGCATCACCTTCCAGCCCCATTTGGCTAAGAGTGGCTCCATCGGAATGAACTCCCCCCCCCCCCCCCCTATTTTCAGAATGCACACACTTGAGTGCAGAACTTCCAAATGTCCAAGCCAAGGCAACAGAGAAGCTCAGGACCAACAGCAGTCAAAGGCGCCGGCCCAGGCGGGGCGCTGCTGCCAGGTTCTACCTGTGTGAAGCAGGTCCGCTGGATCAGCATAGGTCAGCTGTTTACCCACAGAAGGCGCCAGAATTCTACACAGCAAGCTGGATGGAAATGGGATTGGCTGGAAATGGGATGGATGAGAGGCTAAGTCCCCTTCACCCCATGCCTTGGTGCTATCACTGTGCTCCCCTGAGGTGCATTCAGCCGTGGTTAGGGAGACACTGCCCACCACGGCTACCAGGAGCCCACTCTGTGAAGAGGGTGGGACGGAGAGGTGGGCGTGTAATCAAGAGTGGCCTTGTGAGCTGAATCCTTTCCAAAAGATGTCCACCACATATGATGGCCCGTTCCTGCAATAGCATGACTGAGACTAGGGAGGGATAACTCCAGGTGCTAAAACAAAATTTGGGATTAGACCAGAAGCAGGCAGCCCATAAAGCTCACAAGTTTCTACTGCCAAATAGTCAAGCTTCCAACTACGGTCTTTCCTCCCCCACGCTGCCTACTGCTTTCTTTAAGACAGTGTGGTTTGCCCCACCCCATCCCTCTAAGAAACTGACTGAGCTCCCGAGCTTCTTCAAATCGAATCACCAAAACCATACCTTGTGAGCTTTTATTACGCCTGATGGAAAACTCAAGTAAGAGGAAGTAGGAAGGGGAATGCCGCCTCTGTGGCAGACTTTAAAGTACAATTGAGCAATTAGTTCTCGAGCTACCCAAACGAGAACATCTCAGGCGTGGGTCCTCCTACTTGGACTTTTCAACACAAGAGGAGAAGAGAATTGTTCTTCAGCGTAAGTAAATTTACTATTATCTTAATATGAGATAGCTTATGTCTTTTTTCATCTCCTTTTATTGGCAGATTTTCCTGTTGATGTATTTTTTGTGAAGAGGTGTTTAAGAATTGAGACACTTGTTTTTCTACGTTAATATGTTAAGAAAGAAGTCTTTTCCACTACTATGTTGAATATAAGTGGTGAAAGCCAGCAGCCCTGTCTTGTTCTGATCTTAAGGGAAATGCTTTTACTTTTTGCCCGTTGAGTATGATGTTGACTATGGGCTTGTCATTTATGTCCTTTTTAATGTTATCATCCCTCACTAACCACTTTCCTGAGAGTTTTTATCATAAGTAGGTACTGGATTTTATCAAGCACTTTTTCTGCATCTAGTGTTATAATCATGTGATTTGTAACTTTTATTTTGTTTATGTGATGTATCATGTTTATTGATTTGCTAATATTGTACCAACCTTGTGTCCCCAGAATGAATCCTACTTGAACATGTAGTATGATCTTTTAAATGTATTGCTGGATCTGGTTTGCTAATATTTTTTTGATGGTTTTAGCATCTATGTTCATTAGAGATGTTGAGCTATAATTTTCTTTCCTTATAGTGTCTTTATCTGGTTTTGGAATTAGAAGAATGCTGGCCTTGTGAAATGAGCTTGGAAATTTTCCTGCCTCATGAATTTTTTGGAATAGTTTGAAAAGGTTAAGTGTCATTTCTTCTTTGAAATTTTGATAAAATTCACCTGTGGTCTAGGACATTTGTTTGCTGGAAATTTTTTTTACTGCTTCAATTTCATTAGTTGTAATCAGTGTATTCAGGTTTTCCGATTCTTCCTGACTTGTGTTTATACAAATTTATACAAATTGTATTTATACAAAGATTGTTTTTACATAAAGATTATGTAAAGATTGTATTTATACAAATTTATACAAATTTATCCATTTCGCACAGGTTGTCCAATTTGTTGGCATATAGTTGTTCATATTTTTTTTCTATATAATATATTTTATTGATTTTTTACAGAGATAAAGAGAGAGAGGGATAGAGAGTTAGAAACATCGATCAGCTGCCTCTTGCACATCCCCCACTGGGGATGTGCCAACAACAAGGAATCGAACCTGGGACCTTTCAGTCTGCATGCTGACACTATCCACTGAGCCAAACCGGTTTCGGCTTCATATTATTTTCTTACAATCCTTTATATTTCTGGTGTGTAAATTGTTATTCCTCCTCTTTTGTTTCTGATTTTATTTATCTGGGTCCTCCCTCTTTTTTCTTGATGAGTCTGGGTAGTTTCTGTATCATTTATTTATTTCTGCTCTGATCTTTATTATTTCCTTCCTTCTTACTCTGGGCTTTGTTTATTGTTATTTTGCTAGTTCTTTTAGGTGTAGTAGATTTAAATTGTTTGAGATTTTTCATATGTTTTTAATCCTCACCTGAGGAGTGAGGATATTTTTTACATTGATTCTAGATAAAGTGGAAGGGAGAGGTGAAAGGGGAGAGAAGCATCTATGTGACACATCAATTGGTTGCCTCCCACATGTGCCCCAACCGGAGCAGGGACTGGAACCTGCGAGCATCAGGTGTGCAGCCTGATGCTCTAGCCTTTGAGGTACTCTGGCTAGGGCTTTTCTTGCCTTTTGAGATAGGCCTGTAGTGCTAAGAACTTTCTCCTTGGGACTGCTTTCACTGTACCGCATAGATTTGGGGTTGTTGTCTGTTTATTTTCATTTGTTTACAGGTAACTTTTGATTTCTTCCTTGATCTCATTGTTAATACATTCATTGTTTAATAACATATTATTTAGCCTCCATGTGTATGAATTTTTTTTAGGGGTTATTTTTTTATTGTAATTTCTAGCTTTATACCATTGTGGTCAGAGAATATAATTTCAATATTCTTGAATTTATTAAGACTTATTTTGTGTCCTAACATGTGATCTATCTTTGCATGTGCACTTGAGAAGAATGTATATTCTGCTTCTTTGGGGTGAAATATTCTATAAATATCAAGTAAATCTACCAAATCCAGCATGTCATTAGCCTTATTTTTTTGTCTGGAATATCTATTCACTGATGTCAGTGGGGTGTTCAAAACCCCTGCTAAGACTGTATTGTTATCAATCTCTTCCTTAATGTCCACCAAGATTTTCTATATATATTTATATGCTCCTATATTGGGAGCATATATGTGTACAAAGATTATATCCTCTGTTGGACCAATCCTTTTAGTATTATGTAGTGACCTCCTCTGCAGATGATGTTTTATTGAGCTGTACACTTGAAACTTGTATGTTTTTACAAGCCAATGTCACCACAATCTATACTAATAAAAGAGTAATATGCTAATTAGATCGGATAGATTGGATGTCTTCTGGCAAAGCCGGGACCTGGACAGTGCTGCCTGGTATCTGGGTGCCTGTCTGGGCAAAACCGCCCAGGGGAGGGAAGCCTGGGTCCTGGGTGCAGGGGCAACGCAGAGGCAATTAGGGGCAATCAGGCAGGCAGGCGAATGGTTAGGGGCAGTCAAGCAGGCAGGCAGATGAGCAGTTAGGAACCAGCAGTCCCGGATTGTGAGATATTCATCCCCCGAGGGGTCCCGAATTGCAAGAGGAGGCAAGCCAGGCTGAGAGGCCCCTCTTTCCACCCCTGTGCATGAATTTCATGCAACAGGCCTTTATTTAGTACACTCAATTAAAAAAAAAAGTAGTTTCATAACCTAAGTAGTGCTTTGGAGAAAATATACCCTCACTGGTGGTCTGTGTCTCTCAGTATATTAGAGTTCTCTGTATTTCTAACTAAGTCTTGATCATTCCTAGTAAGCAGAGAGCCATGTCAAGGAAGAGCTGTGGTTGGCTTTAGAACATGTACAAGGCAAGATCACTTTCCCAGAATCTGTACTGTGAACTCACCATCATGCCTGGTGTAGGGAAGGCTCAGATTAGGATCCCAAAATTATTTTAGGCGGGCAATTAGAGAGTTTTACAAGCCACAGTGGACTGTCCTTCCTTCCTGGGTGACTTTTATTTTCTTCTTTTCCCGGGTGTCAGAATAAATCCACAATCTTTTAAATTCAGGATTTTAAAGACCTGGGTACATCATCAGCCTCTCCTCAGTGTCTTTTGCAATTGAGTCCTCTGTGTGAAGCAACTGAATTATCTTCTGCACGGGCCTGGGACTCTCTTGGGAGCGGCCTGGTTCTCACTTGATGCAAAACTGTTTGCTTTCGTTTTTCATTGTAAGGAGCAGAAGCCATGGATCAAATGAAGTGGAGAACACTACCCTCCAGGTGCTCATACCTCAAGCTCTTTCAGTCTTTGGTGCTGGCTGGTCTTTTTCACTTCGCTTCAGGTAAGCAACTTGATTGATTCCATTGTTTCAGGGCTTAGGGAAATGATGATCTTTCTAATTTGACGAGGGAAAGAAAGCAGTTGAAGTGTATAATCTTCCTTACGTTAACATTTCCGCTTAGTGTTTATTTTTATGCTTTAGGTGTTGATGCCCTTTGTGCACACTTGTATCATATTTAGAATAAAATTATTTTTTTTAGTTATTTTTAATTTACCACACAGGTATTTCATGTGTTATCTTCTGGAGGCTTTTGTTTCATCTTAGGTGCTAGATTTAGGGGACCTTTGGGAAGGGTGGGACTCATCCTAACAATAGGATGGCTCCAACTCTATTTTTTTAAAAAATCTATCTATGTATCTATTTATATTTATTTTAGGGAGAGAAAGGGAGAGGGATAGAGAGAGAGAAATAATGAGAGAGAAACATCAATCAGCTTCCTCCTACAGACCCCCCATTGGGGATAGAGCAGGCATGTGCCCTAACCTAGAATCAAGACATGACCTCCTTGCCGAAACTGGTTTGGCTCAGTGGATAGAGCGTCGGCTTGCAGACTGGAAGGTCCTAGGTTCGATTCTAGTCAAGGGTATATATCTTGGTTGCAGGCACATCCTCGATGGGGGGTGTGCAAGAGGCAGCTGATTAATGATTCTCTCTCATCGATGTTTCTAGTTCTCTACCCCTCTCTCTTCCTCTCTGTAAAAAATCAATTATATATATATAAAAGACATGACCTCCTGGTTCATGTGTTGACTCTCAACCAGTGAGCCACACTGGCCAGGCCCAACTTTTTATTTTTATTTTTTAAAATATATTTTTGTTGATTTCAGAGAAGAAGGGAGAGGGAGAGAGAGACAGAAACATCAATGATGAGAGTCATTGATGGGATGCCTCCTCCATGCTCTATACCAGGGATCAAGCCTGCAACCCAGGTATTCGCTCCAAGTGGGAACTGAACTGTGACTTGGCTGATAGGTCCACACCTAACCACTGAGACATGGCTTTATTTTTAAAGTCAAAGCAATAGACTTGCTTTCTGCTGAGCAGTATAGTATCGGCTTTCCCCAACATAAAGACTGGCTCCCACAGTTTGCTAGTCTACAAAGAGCCGAATATCAGAAGTCCTTGTGTTAAGAGCTCTTACTTAAAACCTATTTGCACTGTAGGTGTTGCACAGAATGTCAAGTTAGGAGGGAGAAAAAGAAAGGGAAGAAAAGTTAGGGTAAACAGATTACTTGATTATATGTATGTGTGTGTGTATAAATATATATATATAGGGAAGGCTCAGATTAGGATCCCAAAATTATTTTAGGCAGATTACTTGATTATATGTATGTGTGTGTGTGTGTGTGTGTGTGTGTGTGTGTGTCTAGAGAGAAAGAGAGAGAGAGAGAAAGAGAGAGAGAGAAAGAGAGAGGCAATATGCAAATTAGGCCAGGACACCCTAACGGGTCACGACTGGACAGGAGGCGGTTGCATGCACAAGTGAGGCCCAGAGCAGAGATGGAGACAGAGATAGGGGGGCTGGAGCAGACAAGGACAAGGACAAGGACAAGGGTCTAGCGTGCAGCCTCCATGGCTGAGCCCACGCCCAGGGCGGAAAAGGCAGGCCCGGCCGCAGCTTTCGCAGCCATTTGCCCGCCTGCCCGCAGCTTCCGCTGCCAGCGCTTTGCAGGCCGAGGGAGGAAAGGGTGGGTGGATGGGTTCTCCCACCCTCTCTTCAGACAAGCACAGGCCGCGGTTGAGCGCATGCCTAGAATAAAACATTGACGGCAAGTCCGTTGGGGCATTAGAGACCTACAAAATTATCATTTTCTTTTCTAGGAAACACATAACTCTGATTCACTATTTATAATTAAATGTTTTCCATATATTTGACATTTTACAGTCCTGGAAAGTTACATATAGTGATCAGCAAAGTGAGAAGATGAAAAGAATTTTTATGCTTTTAAAGATATAACTAATTTCTGTCCAGAAGACAAATCAATTCAAAAATTGATGGTTTTACTGTCCTATAGGACATTAGCCAGATTGTATCTAAATTTGATTCTTCCCTGGAACACAGAAAAGCACAAACTTGAATCATTGGTGTGGCTTAGGCTAATTTTCCAAATATTGTTTTTGTGTTTTTTTTAATTTTTTTAAATTTTTTTAAATAAATCTTTATTGTTCAGATTATTACAATTGTTTCTCCTCCCCACTCCCCCCATAACTTCCCTCCACCCGGTCCCCACCCCACCATCTGCCCTTACCTCCCCATGTCCCCTGCTGTCCTATTCCATAGGTATATGATTTTTGTCCAATCTCTTCCCCTACCCCCCACACAGACACCCCTTTCTCCCTGAGAATTATCAATCTCCTCCCATTTTATGTCCCTGATTCTAATATATTCACCAGTTTATTCTGTTCATCAGATTTTTAGTTCACTTGATTTTTAGATTCACTTGTTGATAGATATGTATATTTGTTGTTCATAATTTTTATCTTATTTTCCTTTTTCTTATTTTCCCTCTTTTTTAAGAACACCTTTTGCATTTCATATAATACTGGTTTGGTGGTGATAAACTCCTTTAGCTTTTTCTGATCTGTGAAGCTCTTTATCTGCCCTTCAATTCTGAATGATAACTTTGCTGGGTAGAGTAATCTTGGTTGTAGGTTCTTGCTATTCATCACTTCGAATATTTCTTGCCACTCCTGTCTGGCCTACATGGTTTCTGTTGAGAAATCAGCTGATAATCATAAGGGTGCTCCCTTGTAAGTAACTAACTGCTTTTCTCTTGCTGCTTGTAAGATTCTCTTTGTCTTTTTCTCTTGGCATTTTAATTATAATGTGTCTTGGTGTGGTCGTCTTTGGATTCATTTTGTTTGGGGTTCTGTGCACTTCCTAGGCTTGTAAGTCTATTTCTTCACCAGGTGGGGGAAGTTTTCTGTCATTATTTCTTCAAATAGGTTTTCAGTGTCTTGCTCTCTCTCTTCTTCTGGCACCCCCATAATTCAGATGTTGGTATGCTTGAAGTTGTCCCAAAGGCTTTTTACACTGTCTTTAACTTTCTAGATTCTCTTCTCTTCTTGCTTCTCCAAAGGAGTGTCCTTTGCATCTTTGTATCCCAAATCTTTGACTTGATTCTTGCATTCCTCTAGTCTGCTGTTGGGTCTCTGTATAGTATTTTTTATTTCAGTCAGTGTATGTTTAATTTCTAGTTGGTCCTTTTTCATATCCTTGAGGGTCTTGTTAAATTTATTGGCCTTTTCTAGGAAATTCTTGAAAAACCTTATAACCATGGTTTTGAACTCTATAGCCAGTCTTTTGTTCTCCTCCATTTCTTTCGTTTAAGATCTATTTCCTTCTTGACATTTTCACTGCTTCCCTGAGTTGATAGGGTAGCTCTGTGGACCTGGGTGTCCTATATGGTTCGAAGGGTCAGCCTCCCAGTTGCCTGATGTGGACACTCTTGGACTGTGTGTTCAGCCTTGTTGTAGTTAGGTCTTGATTGTTGTTGGTGTCACTGGGAGGAATTGACCTCCATTGTGTCTATAATGGAAGAATTGCTGTGCTGAAGACACGTTTATCAGAGAGGACTTGTTCCCGTAGGGTTTTGGTGCTCGCTGAGTCTGCCTCTTGAATGTGTCCCTTATGAGAGTAGTTGAAATCTGGTGTCATCTCACACCGACCGCAAGATACTCTAGTTTCTGGATCTCCAATAGGGTGCAGTTCAGCTACTCTCTGAGGCCACCTTGCAGGAGCTACAGCAAGAACTACAGTTTTCTCCTCTTTGCTTGGGATTTGGCGGTTTGGGAGCTGGAGCTGCAGTTTATTTTGTTAAGCTGCTACAATACAGGCCATTTATATGCAAAAGCAGCTGTGTGGAGCTTGGGCGGTTTGTAGAACGTGTGCAGGACAGGATGGGGTAGGGTGGGGTCTCAGGACGTCACTAGGCTGGGGCTTGGCAAACAGCGATGACTGCCATCAGCCATCTCTGCCTTTCCGCGTTTCCAAGTTCCTACATCCCTGTGCTCCAGCACAGTAAACAATGATTGCTGCATGCATCTTTGCAAAAAAAGTCACCCTCACTTTTGGACCTGATGGCTGACAGACCAGCTTCTCCCTGTAGGCGTCTGTGTCCCCCGTGTGACCCCAGAAACTGGATTTCAAAGTGATCGGAGCTTGTTTCCCTTTGGGTTGAAAAAAATAGCCGTGCACCCAGTCGCCCACCACCAGCCTGGTTCACGTGCCTCCGTACCTAAGCTTTTCAGCTTTTCAGCATTTGTGCTCCTTTCTCTTTCAGCCAACTTTCCCATGGTTCTGGGTGATAGACATTTTGTCTTTTAGTTGTAGTTTTAAAGTTGTTGTACAAGCCGGCAGATTAGTTTTTTGCCATCTTGGTTTTTCCCCAAATATTGTTAATAAAATTCATGTAGGGATCTTCAGAGAGCCAAGAATTCTTTCAGGCCTACATATTCAGCATCTCCAAGGAGGAGGCCTATTATTCTGTGTTTTGTTTAATACTCACCAGAGGATATTTTTTCACTGCGTTTTAGAGAGTGGACTGTAGGGAAAGGAAGAGGGAGAAGGAGAGGGCCTGCTCACAGCTGAGGGCAGGCTCTCGCCAGCAGTCCCACCTCTGGTCATGAGCTGCAAGGGAAACACCTTTTATGACTGCTCATTGGCTAAGCTCCCTATACACTACTCGCAGTGTTCTTGGTAACTTGCCTAATAAGAATCCAAGAAGGTGATCTAGGGTTTTTCCACCTTACTCCTGGAGGAAAAAATGAAGGTCCGCTGCTGGAGGGCTAAGAAATGTCATATCCTTCTAGCTGGTTTGTCTCAGTAGATAGAGCCGAGGCCTACCGATAGCAGGGTCTGGGTTGATTCTGATCAAGGGCATGTACCTAGGTTATAGGCTCCTCCCTGGCCAGGGCCCAGGTCAGGGCTCATGCAGGAGGCAACCAAACGAAGTGTCCCTCTCACGTTGATTTTCTCTCTGCCTTTCCCTCTTTCTTCC